AATTCAAAACAATCCAGTCATTATACGGTTTTAACTTGTTGGTGTATTAAATATTTCTACCTAATATGACAATTCTTGGCTGACTATATTAATTTTTAGTGCAAGTTATATTAGGTCTAAACTATATACTTTCTTCCTTTTAATCAGGACTTTGTTTGTTTATGGAAAAGCTACTAAGGTTTTTTGCCGCCGTCCCTCATTTTGAACTGACAACCAATTGGAATGCAACTAACTGTAGAAAAGCTACTAAGGTTTTTTGCCGCCGTCCCTCATTTTGAACTGACAACCAATTGGAATGACTAACTGTCAGGCAGCACGAACCGAGAACTGTCGGGCTACTCTTTACCAACGAACAGTGGAATTGACTATCACGTTATAACTCTCTGACGGCTGAAAGCGACCTTTGATTCGTATTCTAAACCTACACCCAGTTTATTAGAACTACACACAGTTATTAACATTCCGAAGTAGTGTTATTCTGGTTAGTTTACAGAGATTTCTACACTGTCCTGGATACAGGACTGAAGTATGAGTTGGTTGTTATTCTCACTGTACAACTGGATACAAGACTGAAGTACAGGGTGGTTGTTATTCTCACTGTACAACTGGATACAAGACTGAAGTACAGGGTGGTTATTCTCACTGTACAACTGAATAAAAGACTGAAGTACAGGGTAGTTGTTATTCTCACTGTACAACCGGATACAAGACTGAAGTATGAGTTGGTTGTTATTCTCACTGTACAACCAGATACAAGATTGAAGTACAGGGTGGTTGTTATTCTCACTGTACAACTAGATACAAGACTGAAGTACAGGGTTGTTGTTATTCTCACTGTACAACTGGATACAAGACTGAAGTATGAGTTGTGTGTATGATATAATATAATGAGGTACATAATCTTTACTTATTTGTATCTTGTTTGATATATTTCTAAGTCAGTTGTGTGTATGATATAATATAATGAGGTACTTAATCTTTACTTATTTGTATCTTGTTTTGATATATTTCTAAGTGGGTTGTGTGTATGATATAATATAATGAGGTACTTAATCTTTACTTATTTCTTTCTTGTTTGATATATTTCTAAGTCAGTTGTGTGTATGATATAATATAATGAGGTACTTAATCTTTACTTATTTGTATCTTGTTTGATATATTTCTAA